AGAAGTCTCTCTCTGGTCTAAAATACAGAAAAAAAACTGGGAATTTTCTAGGCAATAGGTCTGTATTCACCTTATGGACATTGCATGTGCCTGGCCATGTTTTTTTATTCATCTGTATGTTGTTTTACATAATTGGGATCTTATTGCATCAGACTATTGCCAATCCTGTTACATCAAAACTTAAGGCAGCTCAAAGGCACAGCAAGACATAAAACATAAGTATATGTACTGCAGCATGCCAAGAATTTCTTTTTATGATAAGAAATGAGACTTTTGGCAATGGTCTCCTTATCACAAGAGCCACATGTGCATATCTCTTCCCAGCTGTTTTCAGTGACATACCCTAACAGGTGAAAAGTCAGTGTGAAATCAGCAATGATGGGAATATTTACACCACAAACTTGGGAAATACTACAAACCAAGGCTTTCATTTTCTCAGTAAGCCAGTTGTTAAACATTTACCAGCACTCCACTGCCCTGACTGCTGACATGTCCTCCATTATCCCATCATCCCTTACTCTTGCTGTGATGCACCTCTGTGGGTCCTTGATCTTGGTATATTCTTTGTATTGTTTGTTTCTTGGTTCTCTAATGAAACAAAGTGAAAGTAACTTTAGCCTTATCTGAGTTGTCACTGTGATCCATCATCAACACTGCAGCAGGTCCAGTCTAGCTCAAGACTACATATAAAATTCTGTATATAGTTTTTTTTCTAACTTTGTTTATCTTAATTTCATTCAGTTTCATCATATTTTTTTCAGATCGACTAGAAATAAATTAGCAAATTGTTGCTGTCACCAGCAACAATTGATCGAAAGTTCAAAACCGTCAGGGTCCCCCTATTAATCACAGAATAAAATCAGAACTTCTTTGCCTAACCTAACATCTAAGGCCCTCCATAACCTTTTCCATCTACTATTCCCCAACACAGAGCTCTTCTCTAGAGACTAGGTCATTTACCATCCCTGACCAAGCTTATTCATTACTACCTTCATGACCTTCTCCATTCTTTGGTCCTTTCTCAGTTATTTAATAGCTCTCTTTCCACCTACTAATAGTCTTGGCACCCTCCAAAGCCCAATTCCAATTTCACCTGGTTCAAGAAACCCCCACCCCCACCATCTTGGCCCACAGTGAGCTCTGTTGTTTCTGAGCTCCTGTAGGGGAATGTGCAGGGGGTGGAGGCACTGAAAATGCCATTGGTCAAGCCTGTGTTATTTACCAGGTGCTGTACCAACTGCTGCCTTCCTCTTACAAGGACGCTTGTGATTAGGTCAAGCCCACCCGAATAATCTAGGATAATCTCCCCATTCAAGACCCTTAATTTAGGCTTCCTGTCAAGATGGAGGCATAGGTAGGTATGCTTCGCCCCCTCATGCAACCACACAGAAAATTACAACTATTTCTCAAAGCAAAAAACAAGCAGAACTGTCAGAAAATCAAGCTGTATGGAAGTCTGACAACCAAGGATTTAAAAAAAGCCACATTCATCTAGACAGGTGGGAGGGGTGGAGTCGCAGAGAGGGGTGTGGTGCAGAGAGGTGGCAGCAGAATGGGTGGCCCTACATTCATATGTGGTATATAAAAGTTGGGAAGGATACCTTGGGAGCCAGTGATCCCAGCCCCAGACCAGAATGCACAGCCCAGGGTTCCAGCACTGGGAAGATAGCCCCCAAAACTCTGGCAGTAAAAATCAGTGGGAGTGGCAGAAGAAACTGCTGGATTTTCAAGAGAGTTCATTTAAAGGGCCTGCATGGACTTCAAATGTATGAAAACCCGTCCAGTCTGGAGCACACAACCAGGGCAGCAGCTGGAAGGGCACCAGTTACATACAGAAAGTGGGTGAAGTGACTAGAAATGGGTCAATTACCAGGAAGGCCTCCAGAAGCCAGGCTGTCGCATTGTCCCCTCTCTGAGCCATCCCTCCAGGCAGAGGCACAAAGCAATGAAGCAGGTTGCCCCACCTTGGCAATTACCTAAGGCTTCACCTCACACAATTTACAGGTGCTTTTTACAAGGAGTCAAAGTAGCTCTACCTGATACACAGAAACAAACATAGGGAAGCTGCTGAATTGAGGAGACAAAAAAATATGGCCCAAATGAAAGAACAGAACAAAATCCCAGAAAAACAATTAAACAAAATGCAGATAGCCAAACTATCAGATGCACAGTTCAAAATGCTGATTATCAGGATGCTCAGAGAACTCACTGAGTATGGCAAAAACATAAGGGCAGAAATTATGGCTATATCAAGTGACATAAAGACAAATCTACAGGGAATCAACAGTGGAAAGAATGAAGCTGAGAATCAAATCAATGATTTGGAACACAAGGATGGAAAAAGCATTCAATCAGAACAGCAGGAAGGAAAAAGAATTCAAAAAAAACAAGGACAGACTTAGGAGCCTCTGGGACAACTCTAAACATATCAACATCCTACTTATAGGGATGACAGAAGGAGAAGAGGAAGAGCAAGAAATTGAAAACTTATTTGAAAAAATAATGAAAGAAAACTATGTCTATTTCCTTTGCCAAATTAGGCAAAGTCCTGGAAGCATAGAGAATCCCAGACAAGTTGGACCCAAAGAGGACCACATCAAGACACATTACAATTAAAATGCCAAAGGTTAAAGATAAAGAGAGAATCTTAAAAGCAGCAAGAGAAAAGCAGAGTTACCTACAAAGGAGTTCCCACAAGATTATCAGCTGATTTCTCAAAAGAAACTTTGCAAGCAAGAAGGGACTGGCAAGTGGTATTCCAAATGATGAAAAGCAAGGACCTACAACCTAGATTACTCTATTCAGCAAAGCTATCATTTATAATGGAAGGGCAGATAAAGTGCTTCCCAGATAAAACTAAAAGGAGGTCATCATCACCAAGCCATTAAGACATAAAATGTTAAAGGGACTTATTTAAGAAAAAGGAGATCAAATCTATGAACATGAAAAGGGCAACAAATTCACAGCTATGAACAACTGAATCTATAAAAAACAAACTAAGCAAACAACCAGAACAGGAATAGCATCACAAAAATGGACATCATTTGGAGGGTTCTCAGCTGGGAGTGAGAAAGGGGGAAATGGTGGAAAAGGTGCAGGGATTAAGAAGAATAATTGATAGGTACAAAATAGACAGGGGGGTGTCAAGAATAGCATAGGAAATGGAGAAGGCAAGGAACTTATATGCATGACCCACGGATATGAACTAAGGGGTTTATGCTGGAAGAAAGGGGGTTACCAGGTGGAAGGGGGACAAAAAGGGGAAAATTGGGACAACTGTAATAGCACAATCAATAAAACATACTTTAAAAAACATCCTTAATTACATCTTCAAAGTCCTGTTTGCCATACAAGATAACATATCACATGTCCTGGAAGTTAGAATGTGGACATCCTTGAGGGTCCATTATTTAGTCTACCACACTGGGCTTAGCTTTGGACTTCATTTCTTTTGGCCCTCTTCACATCTAAGCACATAAGAGATGCTCTCTTCTGGATGTCATGTGACATGCCAATGAACTCTTAAAGTGAAGATTGCCAGTGTCTGACCCTTGTCCCCATAATTGTCACCAACAAGCCACAGTTGGGCACATACTTCATGAAACTCAATTCCTATTACCAAAAACTGGCATTCACAAGGGCACAGGAAGGCAAAATTTGTGTTCAAACCAGTCAGCAACATTATACCTAAATGAAATGAAGTTCATGACAGACACCTAACAGTAGCTGGCACATAGTCAGTGCTCAATGAAAGCCAGGAGTTCAGAGGAGTTCTTGTAATCTCTTCTAGTCAGTATGTTGAGAGTTCAGATATAATTCTTTTGACAAATTTGCCAGGCCAGATCCAGTTTTGCCATCATAATCAAGCCTGCCAATGTCCTGGGCTTCTCTTTAATCACGTCAGGGAGGTTTTAATATTAGGCCACATGAGCAGGATGAACTTTGATATCATCAGCTCCATGCACAACAATCATTCACTGATATGCTGAGACTTAGCTATTGTTGGACATTGAACCATGAGAGGAGGTTGCTCCTGAATTTCCCCTACCCCACCTCCTGCAGCTGTGGTTTATAAGTAACTGTCCCTTTAACCACAGGTTGTTCAGGGAATCAACAAACCGCCATGGGGATTATGATCCTCCTAACTGCACACCAGAGACCTGGATGCATAGGTGCTAGGAAAAGAATGGAAGGATGGAAAAAATTTTCTCGCCAGTTCACAGCTGAGTGTTTGTGAAGAAGCCGAAGGTCTTTCTGCATCCATAATACCATTTTCTGGTAAGGAAAAAAATGCACGTGGTAACATGGCAGTGATTCTAGTGAATGAGAAGTTGTAAGAGTGTATTTAAATCTACAGAGCAACAGTGGAAGGAGAGCCATATTGCCTTGCCATAGTTGGATAACTGCGGAAGCCCTGGATAAATGTCCCTTTGAAAGGAAAATGCATTGTTCTACTTTATAAACATTGGTAGAAATATAGCAAAAATCTGTGATAGTGTTTCCTTGCATCGGCTTTGGAGACAACAAATAAGAGCTGAGATTTGTTGAAAAGTGAATGAGCTGCTTTTACTAGAAGAGGAAATTCAGGCAGAGGAGTTAGCAAAAACTGTTCAGAGTAGAAGGCAAACAGAAGGGAGCCCTGAATGTCAATCCAGGTAGCAAATGTTCTGTTTGTCTATTGTTTGGTTGGAGAAAAGATAGAGACAGAAGACAGGGGCTTGACAATTCTATAGCTGTAGGGATTTTTTAAGGCTAGTTTGCTCACAAACAGAATGATGAGAGAGAGCCCAGAGGCAGGGAGGCTGGTCAGTAGCTAACTGCTGCAGCTCTGAAGAAGGATGGGGTGTTTTTCAGGTGTCCCTCAACTTCCCAGGGGCACACAGCCATGAGTCTACTTCCCAGTCTCACCACAGAGCATTGGGAGAGACTAACGCTCCCCACCCATATCTTCCCACAGGCTGTGTGGTACCTCCACATCTGTGCCAGCTGACAAATCCCTTTGGGAATAATGAAGATGTTTTCCCTCTTCCCGGCATTCAGATTCATCTGGCTCACCAAGCCAGCTAGCCGGCACTTTCACAGACATCACCAGCTTCAGGTGCCACTGACTCTTGCTGACTTTGAAGCCATCAGTCGCTGTGAGAGACCATTGCCTAAGAATTTTAACTTCGCAGGGGATGTGCTGGACCAGTGGTCCCAAAAAGAGAAGGTATAAGATGATCGGCTTCCACTAGGTTCTTGGTGTCCGTTCCCTTTCCTTGTTTGGGGACCCACTTGTCATTTTTAATTCAGTTCTTGATTTCCTTTGTTTTCCCACTGCCCTAGTCTCTCCCCAGGGAAGATATTTGAGCCTCAGCTATGCATGAGTGTATTTCTCTGAAGCCTCCTTCGCCCCCTTCAATACTCTTACTCAGTTATACCTCTTTTCCTTCATTTCTCCAAGCTCTTTGCTCTCCACTCATTTGTTAGAGCTGGTCACAGCCTTATCCAAAAAAACAGTAATCTGAGCTTTGGTTTTATAAGGAGTCTTCCTTGGAGTAATTGGGAGACAATTAGAGATTGAGAAGAACAAAGTAACAATCCTTACAAGGTACCTGCAGTGTAACCTCAGGTCACGGTCTCTGCTTCCTGACCCTCACCCCATGGCAGACAGTGAGCTGAACACTTTACCTAGCCTACTTAACAAACACTCTGCAAGGACCTGTGCTTCAGAAAACGGTGTTCAGTACTACATATACAAGGTATTAAACAACTCTGAGTCAATCCTTCCTTTTAGAAAGAAGAGTCTTCTTTTCAATCCACTGAGTTTTAGCACTTCTCTAAAACTTGCTAGACTCTCTTTTGAACAGAGAGAGAAGGTAAAATATGATAACCTCCAGATAAAATGTAATGGCATACTGTGTTTTCAATATACTTATTTTTCAATAAACTCTTTTTAGTAAGTGGCACTGGTTTCCAATTATGGTGGTGATTAAATACATTTTCTTTTTAAGCAAATGTACACAAGTAAAAGTTGATGTAAAGAAAAATACAAAGAACACAAGAAATAGCACAAGTGTAGACAGATTTGGCAAACATTAGTGATGCTCAAATGACTAAAGATTGAGAAATACTGACCTACATTATTTCATCAAATCCCCATCAGCACCCAGGTGTTGCAGATAAGGAACTTGACCTTGCATTAGCTAAGCTACTTACAAAGGCACCTGAACCAACCCCTAATCTTATGGTGCTCGTGTCTGTAGGGAAGGGATGCATCTGTGATACAAGAAAGTATAGTGGAGTCCCTGGGAATATGAGCCCAATGCTGCAAAACACAGAAGTCAGACAGCAAAAAGGAGACTAAGAAAGGCTTCACAGAGGATGATGTGGAAATTGGGCTTTAAAGTCTTTTCAAACCAGGGAAGGTAAAATGAGCATTCCAGAAAGGAGAAGGAATAAGGAATAATCCTGCCCCCCACCCAGGCAATGTATAAAGTAGGGGTTTTGCAGCATAGATCACATGCTTTATAAAATCATGGGTGAAAAGTTTTTTCTCCAGAAATCAATCAATCATGCTGATGCCCATCCCCACTCCCATGGCCCTCCACCCTGCTCTCTGTTGCCTATGAACCCACACTGTCAGTCTTTTGTTTATAAACAGACGTCATGTTCCTAATCAAACTTGGACATCCATTAGGTTTATTCGGATGGTATAAAATTTAACTTAAGGAAGAAGTTTATTGGAGGGATGTGGGGGAGCTCAAAAAATTGGGCTGGAAGCTGGGAGTGTCAGTTCCAGCAAGGACAGAAGCCAGGCCAGCTCCTTGGGGCTGCATAAGCACCAAGAGCCAATAGGTCCAGGAGAGACCTGATTGGCCTGACTTGGGTCACATGCCCACCCACTGATCAGCAAAGGGTGAGCACCGTGGTGGGATGTTTCACCAAGACTGTATTCAATAGGAGAGGAGTAGTTCTTTCAAAGACAAGCTAGGATGCTGTTACTTGAATCTACAGGCATAGGTACTGAAGGGAAATAATGGTGGATGTCCATTCTATTTTGTGAAAAGTCACATAAACCTTCCCCTCTCTTTCTCATGTGTCTGTGACCAGACAGGAGAGAGACCAGCCAACCCAGCCCTTTGGTGGGTGAATGGCAAAGGGGGCGAAGTGAAATGGAGCTTTGGAGAGCTGGGCACCTTGTCCCGAAAGACTGCAAATGTGCTCACCAAGCCCTGTGGCTTAAAGAGAGGAGACCGAGTGGCCATCTTTCTGCCCCGAATCCCAGAGTGGTGGCTGGTCAACGTGGCTTGTATACGAACAGGTCAGTGTCCACATTTAAACTTTGTAAATCAGGCAGAAATAGAGAGAAGATGAAAGTTGAAGTTTTCTTAGTTGTTAGTTCTGACTAGAAGCTATTTCAATCAGAGTTGAAATTAAAGGCAACCATGATGTAATAATAATTTTAAAACTATCTTAAAATGTAGGTATTATTGTGATGCTCATTTTGCAAAAGAGGAAACAGAGGTTCAGAGAGGTTAAGAAACTTGCCCAAAGTCATATAGTTCAAAAACTATGCAGTCGGGATTTAAGCACAAGTTTCTGTAAAATCAAGTATGGGTACCAAGGCTTTGCAATGCTAGATTGTCATGTTTCCCAGATGATGCAGTAGTTACTTCTCTGCATATATTTGAATTCTCCCTTATATGAAAATACAAAAGGAAGAAAAAGCATTTTGGAATGCAATAACTTATAAAAATATGATTGTGGACTCAGCTGGAAAACCTCTGCCTCTTCCCAGACAAAAAGATGAATATACTCAATGACAGATTTTTCTCCCAAAGTAGTTATTTATAATGTACCCCCAATTTCTACAGGATTCTTTTCTCCTCTGGGACAGAGTTCAGCAAAAGCCATGGCCTACAGATTGGCCATCTATTTTTATAAGTAAATTTTTAAGGTTACTGGAATACAGCCATGCGTATTCATTTACACATTGTCTATGACTCTTTTTGTTCTAAAACAATGGAATTGCTAATCAAGACAGAGATGGTATGGCCCACAAAGCCCAAGATATTTACTATCTGGATCCTTACAAAAAAGCTGGCAATCCCTACTCTAGAATACAACAAAAATGTTTATAAATCAGTAAAAAATAAGTAAGAATATACTTATACAGAGAACACAAAGGTATCTGTTGCAATAGGACCAAAAATAGAAAAAAATTGGAAACAACTATATAAAAATGATCAAATAAATTATAAAAAGATCGTTATAAGGATGCCACCCTGGTAGTAAAAAATATTCTTACTGCCCATGTTAAATCAAAACAGCAATATATAAAATTTATTTCACATTCACTATAAAAAGGAACTTGCAAATGTAAAATGAATTTTGGGTTGGAAGGAGTTAAAAGTAGTTTATTTGTCATAAATATGTATTTAATACTACTTAACATGATTTATGAAATTTCTGAAATGTGAAGATCAAAAATAAGCACACAAGCTGAATAGTCAAAACTATTCAGTTAATTAAATGGTAAGCAAGCAGCTAAGGAATGTTTTCTAACTCAAAATTATTAAGGCTTCTGAGTGAATATGGAGATGCTTGTACTATATGCCAAAATATTTTGCTTTTGTTATAAAGTGCATGCAGTCTAAAATCCAATAGAATAGAACCTCCCCTTTTACCTCCAAGCTATCTGCCTACCTATTGAACCCACTCATGTCACAAATCTACCAACAGTACTGATAATTTCTGAGCTGATAAGATCAAGTGGTTTGCAAAATAAATAACCTTATATTTTTATATTGAGTGAACAAGCGGATATCTGCTAATGTGTTTTCTTAACTTCCTCATCATCACATATTTGTTTTCTCAAGAGAAGATGATATTAAGAGCTTCTAAAATACATTCTATAAATAAGGTCTCCTTCCTAGGAATTCAACTCCACATCTTCCTATTTTGCTGACTTTAGGGAACTCACCAAGAAATAAGGATCTGATGTACAATACAGGCCTTGGGAGTCTCAGTTATGTATCTCTGAATCCTGGTTCTGCCACTTACTGACTTTGAGACCTATGGACTAGTTGTTATCTATACACTAGGATTAATTTTAAGTGAGATACGAGGCACATAATACATGTTCCATAAATGCCAGTGGCTCTCTACATACATTCCACTCTCTTCCCATTGATTCACTTTAGAAAGAACAACTGTCTTCCCTCTGCCTTTCATCTAACTCTCCCATATTTCTTTTCTCATAAGGAACTGGCACTGTAAAATCAGGCCAATCTCAGGGCAGTATTTAGGATGAAGTGAGGAGGTGGGATAAACTCAGAATCGCCTAAGTTAGCAGTATAGGCACACCATGAGAATGCCAGACCACTGGGAAGACCTAGGCTAGAGCACAGACTCTGCCACTCGCTAGCGATGACCTGATCTCATAGTCCATCAAATGACAGCAACTGCACGGACCCAAAGGACTACTTAGAACAGTGCTCTCCAGGCTTTCTTGGCTTCACAATCTATCAATAAAAATATGCGGGACACACTTCCTCCCATCTGGATAGTTGTTTATATTGTTCTGCACTAATATAATATGCATGTTATAACATTATGTACAAAAATGAGATAAAAATAATTCTAATATTTTAACAATTTTTTAAAATTTTAATTTTTTTCCTGTGAATTTTATTGCAAAACTCACTTTGGAGACTACTAGTTCAAAAGTTTTCATAAAAATGTTATAAGCTATAAAGAGCTACTTAAGTGTTAAATAATGATTAAAATGTTTCACAAAAATGTTACATAAGAATAGCTTACCATTATAATTTCTCCTATATGCCAGACACTATTATTTTTCCCCATTTTACAGATAAGGAAAGGAAGGCACAGAGAGATCAAGTAACATGCTCAAGTTCACAAAGCTAGTAAGTTATAAGGATGGCTTTAGGCCCAAGGACTGTCAGACTCTGAGGACAGCCATAAGGATCTCCCAATGATCAGGGTCCCATGGGCTGTCCCTGAAAACCAAAGCAGGGGTTAACTGAAGGCTGGATTGCACAGCTCCTCCTTGCCCAGGCACAAAGAGGAAGCATCCACAGTCTTCAGTTCTACCTAGTGGACAACAGTTCTGTTAGCACAGGGTCCTCTCTCCTTTCTAGGGCTTGTCTTTATGCCAGGAACAACGCAGCTGACAGCAAAAGACATCCTCTATCGGCTGCGAGCATCCAAGGCCAAGTGCCTCGTGGCCAGTGAGGAGGTGGCCCCAGCAGTAGAGTCCATCGTGTCAGAGTGTCCTGACTTGAAGACCAAACTCCTGGTGTCTCCATACAGCCGTCAGGGGTGGCTTAGCTTCCAGGAATTATTTCAGTGAGTATTTCCCCTGCCTCATCTTCAGAGCCAGCAATAACACCACTCACAGCTACATCTCACAGTCCCCTTGCCTTCATGGACTCAACAACACTGAGCTGATCTGGGATCTTCCCAGAAAAGAATCACCTAATGAAAGGTTTTAAGGACAGAAGGAGTGCAGCTCTGCCTCCACTGTCCTATGTCCCACCTCAGGCTGTGGCGAGCACCCTGCATGGTGGTTTCTGCCTAACTTGTGGACCATTCTCCCTGCCTTGACTCCCTCTGGCCACCTTTTTATTCCTCAATCATGCCCCTTCTCAGGGCCTCTGCGCCTGCTGTTTCTCTGCCTGGAATACTCTTCCTGAGTCCTTCCTGTCAGATTTCAGTTTGAATGTTTCCCCTCAGTAAGGCTGTCCCTGGCCACCCTATCTACAGCAGAATTCCAAGCCACTCTGGACTTTGAGTGCTGTTATTTTATTCATAACCCCCAACACTATCTGAATATCATGTCCAGTCACCTGTTCCCTTATTTACTGGTTTTCTCCTATACTAGGGGGATTGGCAAATTAGGGCCCATGGGCCAATTCTGGTAAGGCACCTGCTTTGTGAGTGAAATTTTATTGGAACACAGCCACACCCATTTGTTTACATATTGTCCATGGCTGCTTTCATCTTACAAGAGCTGGGTTGAGTAGGGTGCAACAGAGACCACAAGGCCCACAAAGCCTAAGATATTGACTATCTGCCCCATTACAGAAAAAGTTTGCCAGCCCCTGTCCTAGACCTTGAATTCTGATCTTGAGGGGATTGGAAGAGCATGAGCAAAGATATGGAAGTAAAAATATCCTAGGGTGTGCAGGGAATGGACAGTTTTGGGTGGCTGGAGAACAAATTATGAAGTCACCGTGGAAGCCAGGTATGGCCTCTCATATAAAGACCTCATATGCATGCTAAATCTCTAACTTAACCTATAATCAAGGGAAGCCATTGAGGAGTCTTAAGAAGCGAAGTGTCAAGGTCAGTTCTGGATTTGAAATAGATTTCTCTGGCAGCTGTATAGGAAATTAAATTTAGAAGAATCAAACTGGAATCAGGGAGACCATCTTGGAGCCTAATGTAGAGGAGAGACAATGAGAGTCTAAATCTGGGCTCTGTTGAGGGGGGTGGATGGAAGGAGGCACGCTAAAGAATTGGGAAGGCTTGGACATTGACTGGACATTGATGATGAAGGAAGGAGATGAGTTGAGCTGCTTTTTAACTTGGGTGACTGAGTGGGTGGCTACCGTTAGTTGGAGAAAAAGTGTAAAGTTGGACACATTGAGATTGAGGGGTCTGAAGACACCCAAATACCTAGCAAGTGGCAGATATGAGTCTCAGACTTAAGGAGATAAAGATACAATTCTGGAAATCATAAACATTTAATCAGTTCTGAAAAATCTTGAAAGACATAACTCAAATATCCCAAGAAAGAGAGACAAGTCAGATAATGGAGCCACTGCTTGAAAATCTCCTTGTGATTCACAGATTGTAATATCTGTTCTTTTAGTAAAAGAAAAAATAAAAAGCCTTATATCTAAAGGTTTCTATACAGGTTGAGAAGCATTCAAAATAGGAGGGTTTTTTGGTTTTCATGGGTATCAGATACTGTGAATAAATTCCCTTTTCTCCAGCCTACCACATACCAACTTCACCCTATACATATATTGAATCAATACAATGGAATGGAAGAGGTAAGTTAGCAAGAAAAACCACATAAATATTTCATGAAACTACTTTTGACAATATAGCATGTTTATATAATTAATCCTCACTGTTTTACAGTTTCAATAACAATTTTATTTGTCATCAAGATGATCTAAACTGGTGTATTTTACCCTGTTTCCTACAATCCAGAAAATTAAAACTATGATACAAGAGTCTCAAAAATTTGGGAGCATTTTATCAGTTATCCACTGAGTAGCAAAACATCCCAAAACTTAGTGGTATAAAACAACGATCATTTTATTTGCTGATGACTCTGTGGGTTAGAAGTTCATGCAGGCCTCAACAGATGCAGCTTGTCTCTGTTTCACATTCGCTTGCCTGGGAATGAAGGATCCAAGTCTGAGGCTTTGGTGTCGGCTAAAGCACCTCACTTCTCCTACACATGGCCCCTATCTCCAGCAGGACAGTCTGAACAGCTATGGGTTTCTCCCAGTGAAAGTGAAGACAAAACCTCTTGAAGCCTAAGCTGAGGAGTCACAAAACTTCTGCTACACTCTGCTGGTCCAACTAAGTCACAAAAGCAGCCTAGATTTAGGGACAGAGGACATGCTTATACAAGGATAGAAGGATTTGTTGGAGATCTCTATGCAGACAGTGTTACACAGATAATGTTATCAGTTAGAATGCTCTTGGATTTAGTAATGGAAGACCCAAGCAAAAGTGGCTTAAACAATACAAAAATTTCATTATAACACAAATAAGAAATACAGGGGCAGAATGAGAGTTGGTTAATTGAGTGGTTCGATGAATTTAACAAGAATACAGATTCATTCATCTTTCCATCATGCCACCTTGGATGTGTCTGCTAAACCCTCTTATGATCCCAGCATGGCTAGGGTAGTTCCAGACACCATGCACTTTCATGACAATATCCAAAAACAAGAGGACAAAATGGATGGGGTAGAGGAAGGCAGCATCCCTTCCTCCTGACTCTTTCTAGAACAAGGAAACATTTCTCATTCTTACTGACCGTAACTGCATCATGTGGCCACCCGTAAACCAGACTGGCTTAGACTAATCAAGGTTAATTTTTGACCCCCACACCCAAACTCCCAGAGCTGTACAGGGAACAATTTCCCCACCTGAAGCACATGGCTACAAGATATCTGAACAAAATCAGAATTTTATCAATGCAAGGAAGAAGGGATGCTATTTGGTAAGTAACTAACTGTGCCTGCCAGCAATATTGAAGATATTAAATAAAAAGTATTAAAAAGATGGATTAAAATGTCAAAGCATCTTCCTTTAAATCATAAAAACTCATGAAATATAATAACAATTTACAAAGAAAACTGATTTTTAAAAAATTCATAGATTAAAAAGGCATTTAGGAAAAATGTTTAAATAAATGAAATATACTTTTTTTTGTTAAATTGAAGTGATCTTGGCTATCTCTTTGGCCTATGAGGAGATAGAGCTTAAAAAGAGAAAGGTGAGCCCTGACTAGTGTGGCTCAGTTGGTTGGGCATCATCCCACAAAGCAGAAAGTCACCAGTTTGATTCCTGGTCAGGGCACATGCCTGGGTTGCAGGTGTTGTCTTCAGCCAAGCTGTGTATGAGAAAAATGGTGTCTCTCTCTCACATCAATGTTTCTCTCCCTTTCTCCTACACTTTTCCTCTCTCTAAAAATAAATAAATAAAAAATATTTTGAGAGAGAGGTGGAAGGAGAGAGGTGAGCTGTTAAAACTTTAGCACTGATTTGCAAAGCTCCTCTAAGATTTCATGAAGAAATTCCTCTCAGGGAGGCTTTGGATTAGGTTCTGTTCTATTAACTATCTTTGGCATCAAGAGGTCATAAATAGCAGGACAAACAAAACACCAGTTGAACTGATCTTCCATTTTCAGCCACCATCTGGCGGTTCATATTTTACAGATCTGCCTCTGCAGAGCACACCTGTGTGGAGACAGAAAGTCAAGAGCCGATGGCCATTTATTTCACTAGTGGGACCACAGGTTCTCCTAAGATGGCCCAGCACTCTCAGAGCAGCCTTGGAATTGGGTATACCCTCTGCGGAAGGTAGGGGAAAAAACTCTGTTTTGGCTAAACTCTTCCCTGAGCTCTTAATGTATATTTAGCCACCTAGTTGATACCTCTACTTGCATAGCTACCAGACATCCCCTATGCAACAACTACAAAATAGAACTTAATGTCCCTGCCCAGCCTTAGCTCAGTACTTGGCACCAGCTCACTAATTGATCAAGCAAGAACTTAGGAATCAACCTTAAAAAAATTCCCACGAGAGTATGTCTGGCTCCTTCTCTTCACCATCAGGTAAATTTATGCACTCAGAAAAGTCTTTATAGATATCCATAAACTATCACATTACCTTGTTTTAGATTCCTCACAGCACTTATCACAATTTGAAATTACAACATCAATTTACACATTAATTTACTTTGTGTGCTTATTCACTCTCTAGCTTCCTAAAATAAGAGCAGAGATCTTCTGGTCTATGTTGCTCACCATCTTAGATAGAATAGTGACCAACATATATTTGCTCAATAAATATTTGTTGCATCATTGGAACTCATAAAATTATGCCAAACCCAACCTCCCACTCCACTCTCTGATTACCTAGGATTCTGAAAAGGTGTTCTAAGAAAAGTGGGGAGTAGAACCACTCATGCTGCCTTGGGTCTGCTTTTGACCCTTCTCTGTAGCCATTGAGGTTCCAAACAGTTCTCAAAGTCATCAGTTTCTTTGTGTTCCTGGCTGTTTTGTTTTTGTCTGTCTGTTGTTTCTCCATATCATTTAGGTATTGGCTAGATCTGAGGTCATCAGATATCATATGGAATATGTCCGACACTGGCTGGATCAAGGCCGCCATTGGCAGTCTGTTTTCGTCCTGGCTTCAGGGAGCCTGTGTCTTTGTGCATCGGATGGCCCAGTTTGACCCTGATACCTTCCTAGATGTAAGTCATAACTTCTGGCTACATCTCTCCTTTGTCTCCCTCCAAACTGCAGAGAAATGAATCTTCAGGATACAGGACTTCTTGGGCTTAGGGAAATCATTCCTTTTTAAGGCACAGAGTCTTCAGGGCTTTTGAATGTACTTGTGCTTCAAATTGTTCAGGGTTTGCTAATGTTGCCGTATCTGTATCTGCTGAAGAGTCTAATTCTTAATAACAAATTAGAAGTCTCTGGCCTAAACAAATATGATTAGTGAAACAAAGACAATAACTGATAAATCTGAACCCCTGTATGGAGGATACTGAAGGTGGGGTCACCTTTCTACCACAGTATCTCTTTCCATTCTCCCCAAGAGAAGCTCTGTTAATTCTCAGAACACAATGTTCTTCTTGAAACCAGGCATGTTCCTCCTTCTCGGCCAGAGACAACCAGGCATCAAATGGCTTCAATTTCTTTAGCCTTTAGAAAAATGGGATTCAGCCCAATTATTTTCAACCATGAAATATCAATTAATTTTAACCAAATACATATAATTAAATAAACACTGCACTTGTGTGTGCATAAAAGCTACCTTTACCCTGTTATTTTGCTAAGTGGCCTGACAAGAAAGCTTGACATCTTAACAGAAATTTAAGGTAACATAAGAATTGGAATTTCTACATCAGGTTTGCAAAGTTCCTTGAAGTGGATGAGTTACCACTGCAGTTTCAAAACCTACATTTGTAAAAGAAGTATACTTTTATAAAATATTACATATTTTATACTTAAATTTTTATTTAAATGTACAATATTACATTTACTATTATATTAGAATATATTAACATTATATTGTTAATATTAATATATTAATGCTGATATATTACTATATTACTAGTCTTATTTAATATAACATTACATAAGATATTAAAATAAGAACATTCTTATTTTACAAAGATAATGTCTGTATTTTAAGTGCTATAAAAATGTTAATGAATTCACACAGTTCTTAGTTATAGACACTACACTAATTAAGAGCAATTGGAATCTAGGGAACAAGCACTCACAGTAGAAATGCTCATTTACAGGTCCAGAGTTACACTTGACCTATGATAATCCAGACAGCCTAGACATACAGTTTTAGAGTGTTCTCTCAGATGCTTAAATTTAACACATATTGTTGATTCATTATGTAATATAGTGGAACCTGTCTACAAAGATCTCTAAAACAGTATTTCTCCAGATTTAACATGCCTTCGATTTTAAAGTTAGAAGTATAATGAGTCTTGCAAATCTTAAACAATTGATAAAAGGCCTGAAAAATGCCTTACTAATGCCTTTCATCAATCCACTCAAAAGGACTGAAGTCTTATAGAAACAGTGTTGCAGCCCCAAAGTAGAATAAATCAGTTCATACTTTGGGGTGGTTTTCAAATTCAACAATTCACTTTTTGTTAAATTTGACTGTGTATGTCTATTACTATAACATATATGTATTCCTTCCAATATTGAAAATTCACAATAGACATACACTCACTAGTGACAACTAATAAATATTTGCTTATTCCTGAGATGGGCACATGTTAAAATGAAAGATAATTTGGGGTTGTTGACATCAGCTCTAGTCAATGGCCTTTAATGAACCACTTCTGACACCTGTGTCTTTCCATCATACAGACGCTTACCACTTACCCCATTACGACCCTGTGCAGCGCTCCTACTGCGTACCGGATGCTTGTGCAAAAAGACCTTAAGAGGTAGTTGGGAAGAAATATGCATTTGAACTACAAGCAAAAGCTATATTTGGAACAAATAATTCTGTGCCCTGTGGGGCTGTCCTGTGCATTGTATGATGTTGAACAGCAACATCCCTCTCCACCAAGTGTAATGATCAAAAATGTCTCCAGCTATTTCCTAGTCTCCAGGAGAGGGGAAGGAGGAAAAATTGCCCCCTAGCTTAAGAATAACAGGAATAGCCTCTGAACATTTTCCAAAAACAACCAGAGTCATACAGTCCCAGAACTCCCACCACCTCCCACCCACCAAAAAAACAACCATAATGCATTTATACTGCCTTGAAAAGAAGCTAATGAAGTCTTATGATTTGAAGATTCTATTCAATTTGGCCAAATCACCCGAACATCCAGTGGAGTTGCAATGTATGTTTGAGCAATACACATTGAATACATGAGGAGAGAAAGAAGAGAGAAACAATTTCAGTAGTGTGTGCAAGTTCACTCATCCTCTGTTCCCCCAAGCTATGGAGCCCCAATGGGGAGAGTGCTGTGTGAGACAGGATAGAGCAGATATGAATCTTCTCTCATCCTAGTCAGTGTCAATTCCTTTGTGGCCCTCAAATGTGAGTACCTTGGTCACATTTCAAGAGTAATTCACATTTCACATTTCAAGGGCTACTCAAAGGTTATTTTGAATAGGCACCATTCATGCCTTATCACACCCTCTGGTCCAATTAGGACCTTACTATATCAGAGTAAGGCTGTTTCAAACTTTCTCACCTGAGTCCTATGGTTAAAAGCTCAAGCTCTAAAGTAAAAAAGGCCGGGCTCTGTTACTTACTAATAGTGTAAACTTGGACCCTCAACAAGTTAACCTTGATAAGCTTCCCTAAACCCCATCCATAAGAGGATTAAAACTCCTCATGGGGCTGTGGTGAGAAATCAGTGTAAGCACATGCTTAGTGAGATACCTGACAAGTGCTAAGTACACAACACAGAGTATCCAGCTCAACCCTTTACTGTGAGGCCTTGGGCAAGTTCTTTAACTTCTCTCAGCCTCAGTTTCCTTACCTGCAAAGTAGGGGTTATGAGGATTAATGAGAATGCTCCTAAAGCCCTTACAACATAGTAAATGCTCAACTAATATTAGCTGTTATTATATCACTTGTAAGTGTTTAATGATTATTAGCATTTTCTCCTACCTTTTCTCCTCTTTAATAACCTGGTACAATGAAAGTTCTGTCAGGAAACTCTGTTTTAATCACTACCATGCCTGGAACAATGTCTGACAAGATTGGAGGTGCTCCACAGATGTTCCTTAGTAAACCTCCTGAGATTTGCCTCTCCTAGCTCATTTGCTTGTTGCTACAACATCCCAATTACCTTGTAATGAAAGCCATTCAAGATTTCTTCCCCAAAGACTCCATGCAACTCTGTCTCTTAATTAAGATATAAATTCAAGAAGCTACGGCACTGCTCGACAGCAGGGGAGCCACTCAACCCAGAGGTGTGGGAACAGTGGAAGGCACAAACTGGGCTGGAACTGTACGAGGGCTACGGACAGACAGAAGTGGTACGTTTCATGGGCAAAGCACAGGACTGTCAACTGAGCCCCTAAAGAGTCTCCATCATACTCTAAAATTTTCGGGAGCTTTTCAGGATACCTTACCCTGCCAGTAGTTACCAAAACCTGTGAATTACACAATTAGGTTTCCCTGGAGGGGAATTATGATTATTCTTTACAATCTTCCTGTCTACTCCCCACGCAGGAGGAATTTCAGAGGGGTTTGAGATTGGAGGGACTCAGAATTGTACAGCTCATCTTTCCACCACACTGGAAAGGACCCCAGAGAGCTTATTCCAAGGTGTGCTTAAGGGTATCCTTGGCCTAAAAGAGTGGTCCTCAAAGTGTGGGTCTCAAACCAGCAGTATCAGCAGCTTGTGGGAATTTCGTAGGAATACAGATTTTCAGTACTGCCCTCCCCAGACCTACCAAATTAGAAACTCTGGGAGGGGCCCAGCAATCTATTTTAGCAATACTCCAGGTGATTCCGTAAACGCTCAAGTTTGAAAACCACTGGTCTAAAATACTTCAGAATATGAGCATATGACCTTGCATACTGGGAAAATTGATCAAAACTGAATCCTAAGTCTCATTGTCATGATAGAACTACTGAAAATGAACTTTTAGATACTTATGTGAAACATGCCCTCCCAACAGGGAATAATTTGTTGCAATCATAAAGGACAAGAAATTAAACCAGGTTCTATGGGGAAGGGAGGACTGCCCTACGATGTGCAGGTGGGTAACATCTGACTGGTTAAATAATGTATTTCTTTTGTTTTTTGGTTTTTTTAGTATGTAAAACTGCAACTTTTTGTTTGAGTACAGAAGCTAATATTGGCACAAAATATTATTTATACAATACTATTATTGACAAAAGTTGAAATTATTTTTTATGGACTAATAGTATTTGTTAACATAAGAATTTACATATTATTGAAATGTCATTAACAATTTTACTTTACCTTTGTTTAGAATCTACTGTTCTTTTTTTGTTGTTGTTCAAATACATTTGTCTCCGCCTTCACAGCACCACTTTCCCCTGCCCCCCTCCCTCACCTCCCTCCCTCAATCCTTGCCCACTTTGGCTTTGTCATCAGTCCTTGATATATGTTCCTTGACTTCACACTTCCCTTCCCTTTCCCTGCCCACCCCTCCCTCCTTCCCTCTTGTCTCTGTTGGTTTTTTTTTATTTCAATGTTGCTGGTCATATTTTCCTTGCATCTCTGTTTTGTTGGTTAGGTTCCACTTATAGGTGAGATCATATGGTATTTGTCTTTTGTCCCCTGGCTTATTTCGCTTAGCATAATGATCTCTAGTTCCATCCATGCTGTCGTGAGTGTAGAAGTTCTTTTTTCCTTTCTGCTGTGTAGTATTCCATTGTGTAAAGGTACCATAGTTTTTTGATCCACTCATCTACTGACGGGTATTGAGGTTGCTTCCAACACTTGGCTATAGTAAATTGTGCTACTATGAACATTGGGGGGCATAGGTTCTTCTGAATTGGCGTTTTGGGGATCTTTGGGTATAGTCCCAGCAGGGGAGTTACTGGATCAAAAGGAATTTCCATTTTTAGCTGTTCTGAGGAAATTCCACACTGTTTTCCACAATGGCTGCACCAGTCTGCATTCCCATCAACAGTGTACTAGGGTTCCCTTTTCTCCACAGCCTCGCCAGCACCTATTGTTTGTTGATCTGTTTATGATGGCCATTCTGACCAGTGTGATGTGGTATCTCATTGTGGTTTTAATCTGAATTTCTCTGATGGCTAGTGATGATAAGCATCCTTTCAAATGTCTCTGGCCCCTCTGTATCTCTTCCTTGGAAAAGTGTCTGCCCAGGTCCTTTGCCCAGTTTTTAACTGGATCGTTTGTCTTCCTGGAGTGGAGTCCTGTGAGTTCTTTATATATTTTGGACATCAAACCTCTATCTGATATATCATTAGCAAATATGTTTTTCCATACAGTTGGCTCCCTTTTCATTTTGCTATTTTCTTTAGCCATGCAGCTTCTTATTTGGATGAGGTCCCACTTCTTTATTCTTTCCTTTATGTCCCTTGCTTTAGGGGACATATCGGTGAAAATATTGCTGCGTGGGATATGACAGTTTCCTTCCAATGTTCTCCTCTAGGACTTTTATGGTGTCGCAACTTATATTTAAGTCTTTTATCCATCTTGAGTTTATTTTTGAGTATGGTGATCAAATTTCAATTTTTTGCATGTAGCTGTCCAGCTCTCCCAACACCATTTGTTGAAGAGGCTATTTTTACTCCACTTTATGCTCCTGCCCCCTTTGTCAAATATTAATTGACCATATAGACCTGGGCTTATTTCTGGCCTTTATATTCTGTTCCACTGCTGTATGTGTCTGCTCCTGTGCCAGTACCAGACTGTTTTGATTACAGTGGCTTTGTAATAGTTTTATGTCTGGTATTATGATCCCTACTACTATGTTTTTCTTTCTCAAAATTGCTGTAGCTATTCGGGGTCGTTTATGGTTCCATATAAATTTTTGAAATGTCTGTTCTATGTCTGTGAAATACATCATTGGTATTTTAATAGGGATTACGTTGAATCTATAAATTGCTTTGGGTAGTATGGACATTTTGATAATATTAATTCTTCCAATCCATGAGCACGGTATATGCTTCCATTTATTTGTGCCTTCCTTAATTTCTTTCTTCAACAGTTTTCTGCATACAGGTCTTTTTCCTCCTTGGTTAAGTTTATTCCTAGGTACTTTATTTTTCTTGTTGCTATGGCAAATGGTATTTTTTTTTTTCTGATTTCTTCTTCTTCTCTTTCATTGCTGGTGTACAAAAATGCCTTCGATTTCTGAATATTGACTTTGTATCCTGCTGTTTTGCCAAATTCACTTATTAGGTTGAGTAGATTTTTTTGGTAGAGTCTACAGGGTTTTGTATGTACACTGTCATCTGCAAACAATAATTTTACTTCCTCCTTTCCTATTTGGATGCCTTTTCTTTCTTTTTCTTGTCTGTCCACTGTGGCTAGGACTTCCAATACTATGTTGAATAGAAGTGGTGAAAGCGGACATCCTTTTCTTGTTCCTGATCTTAGTGGGAAAGCTTTTAGTTTTTGCCCGTTGAGTATGATGTTGCTGTAGGTTTCATATATGGCCTCAATAATGAATGTTTTATATGGTTTTCTTCTATCTTTATTATGTAACTATCCCTAACCCATTCTCATTTTGTGAGAAGGAAGCTTAAAGAACCTAAATTGTTCCTTTTATTCTAGATTATAGATGAAAATGGAAACATCCTACCACCTGGCAAAGAAGGAGATATTGCCCTCAAACTACAGTCTACACGGCCCTTCTGTTTCTTCTCAGAATATGTGGTACAAGAATGTAGAACATGCTATTTATATTTTAATGGAAAAGGTGGTATAGGGAGTCATACAGGCTTGGGTCCAAATTTCGTACCAATCTTTTTTCGCTCTATGACCTTGGGCAAGTCACAACACCCAACTCTATCTCCTCAACTGTAAAAAAGGGATAATATCTTCCATCTCCTAAGAGTTTTGTAAAGATTAAATTCTATGTCAGAAACTGGTTGCAGTGGTTGTCTGTATTACACCTGGACTGGCTTCTGGGGAGGGTGTTAATTAGGGCCCTAGAAGTGAAAGAGATTTACTTTTTATTATACTCTTGGGCCTTCTGTGTTCTATACTATGAACTACCTTTTGAAAAAAAATCAATTTCTTTTAGAAATAGAATGTGCAATATACTAGGCTCTTCATGGGTGCCATACTCCTTTTATTTATTTTTTTAATCCTCACCTGAGGGTATGTTTACTGTTTTTCTTGAGAGAGAAACACTGATGTGAGAAACATTGACTGGTTGCCTCCTGTAAGCACCCCAACTGGGGATCAAACCCAGAACCTACGTACGTGCCCTGACCAGGGATCGAATCCGTAACCTTTTGGTGTACGGATGATGCTCCAACCAACTGAGTCACCCAGCCAAGACTATACCCCTTTTTCTGTTCTGGCCAAATTAATCTTCATTGTCATCTTCTGACTCCTAGGACAACCCAGAAAAAACTGCAGCCACAATAAGAGGGAATTTTTATGTCACTGGAGACAGAGGAGTGATGGACAGCGATGGGTATTTCTGGTTTGTCGGCAGAGCTGATGATGTCATCATATCCTCTGGGTTTGTACATTAACCACTGCTAGAAAGTAACAACTTGCTACAAAAGATTTCTGACTTGGTGGTGTAGTAATCTAATATCTCTTTTCTTCTAGTTACCGTATTGGGCCATTTGAAGTTGAGAGTGCACTGACTGAGCACCCAGCAGTTGTTGAATCAGCTGTTGTCAGCAGTCCAGACTCAATCAGAGGAGAGGTAGCATGAATGTCACGGATGAAAGTAGCCATTTTATATTTTCAAGTTCTGTCCATGTGGCCATTCTAAAGAGTGAATCAAGAGTAGTCATGTAATTCTCATTATGAACCATACATGTGGCAAAAATGCACTGGCAATCAACTTTACACATAAATTGTATCCCAAAGGGGATGTATTAGGATTGTTTTGGTCGCAAGTGACAAAAATTCGATTCCAACTGACTTAAGTTAAAAAAAAAAAAAGGAATTTACTGGTTTACCCATACGTGAGGTCTACAAGTACAGCTACATCCAAGTTGTTGCACACAAAGTCGGCAAAACTTAGTCTCTCTATTTAGTAGCTCTGCTGTTAATGTTGCCTCCATTTAGGAAGGTTCTTCCTACTTGATAGCAACCTACTTCAGATGTACTCAACTTTACAGCCCCAGTGAAGGAGACAGATTTTTCCTTCAAGCAATTCCCAGAATAGCATTTGCCTATCTTGTATCACATCTCTAACCAACGCTGTTTACAGAATGGTATATCCTGACTGGTCAGATCTGGATCATAGGCTGGTCATTGGTAGGAGTTAGTGTCAATCCAGAGAGGTTAGGGTAATCCTCCACAGAAAATCAGAGTAATGTTCAAAAACAAACAAACAAACAAACAAACAAAGACAACAGATACTGCATAAGCAAAAGCTGCAGGTATGACTATATGTATGATTGTCATGAACTAAGAATACATTTTCTCACAGAAACAATGCAAACAGGAGACTGTGGCCAGGTTGCCAGACAAGCACACAAGCCTCCTTAGGATGGATGAAAGGAAAACTCGGTGAATGACAGCAGTACCGTAGCTCTAGGAGGAAGCTATGTAGTATTAAAGGGAAATGACCCCTTTCATCATGAAAGTCCCTACAGACTCTGCAAGGATAGTGATTTGCCTATCACTATCCTCCTACATCCTTCTCTCTCCCCTCTCATGTACCAGGGACCCTCTGCAGTGACCCTATGGATTCCACACTCAAAACGTCCTATACCACTTCCCTGCTCAATGGAGTCTACGCTCCAAAATATTTTTCTCCTGCCCCAATCTTCCCATTCTCTCAATGTAATTGATTTCAGCACAAATTAGAATCAGTGTATGAATGATTAGTAATTTAAACTATATTTGCTAACCTCAATAATTATCTAACTGGTGGGTTTAGATAGCATTACAAAGAAAAGCAAAAAATATCAGGCAAGATGTTTCTTTCTCTCATATCAATAAACATATCCTTGGGCAAGGATTAAAAAGGAAAAACGAAGACCTTTCAAAAGTAGATCAGTTCTTCCTGAGATTCCATCTCCCAGCATACACATTCCTCCTTTAGGTCTTCCCAGACCCTTCAAACCACACATTCCCTAGCACCTCCATTTGTCACCCTACTACATGCTCCTAACGGTAGAGGTTTGATGGAATAAGTGGTCATCTGCAAACCAAGGACTGCCTGTGTAATAAATAGGATTAGTCAGATTGAAATGTTAAATACGTATGTGACATGTAAATAAAACTCAACCTTCAGCTTTATTGAACCATTGTACTCCTAACACAAGCCATTATCTGCAATTAGATCTCAAAACCTCACTTGTACCCGCCCAAGCTTTGTTCAGATATTCAGTGGTGATCACTGGCATTTGCTTTCATCATTTAACCTATTACCAAAAGATGAGTACCTGTGTTCAGCATTGGTTCCAAACTCTTGATGTCTGAAAAACATATTGATATAAATTCACTCTCCTCCTGCAGGTAGTGAAAGCTTTTGTCGTCTTATCTGCACCCTTTAAATCATCCAACCGAGAGAAATTAACACTTGAACTTCAGAATCATGTGAAAAAATCAACTGCACCTTACAAATATCCAAGAAAGGCAAGTATTTTGCCCCAAAGTAAATGTATGTGACCAAGCCAGGGTCTAAGCTAGTAAGTATAATATACAGATTTTACTAGCTTTTGAATTTAGGGTAGCTCCTATATATTATGTATTTCAATTTGTTTAGCCCTAAGAATTTTGCTTTAAAATATTTTATATTAGGACATTACAAATGCTTGATAAACTAGAAGTTTTGGTCAACTCTGCAATACTGAGTAACTACCAAGAGGCCTCATAGGACTAACTCAGTCCCATTCCATATAAGTAAAACAATGATGGCGAACTGTTTTTAAAGACAGTACCTGATTCATCTAGCATAGTACTCTTGATAATTTGCTCATAACTTCAAAATGCAGGCCTTTAAGTTTCAAGTGACCAAATTTAAGGCTCAGCATGAAAATATCCAAACTGTGGAATCTTTCCTGAAACATTCTTCAAAGGAGGATTTAAGAATAATTCTATACAGACACAGAGATGGCACTGCAACGGCCTTGTAGTCCTGGAATCCTACTGGCTGATAATGAAAATTCCATTTCAAATGGCATCGTTTCCGCAAAAAGATATTTAATTTCAACCTATGAACAAGTTACACTTTCTCCATTAAATTCACCAAGCCAATGACCAGTTGACTTTCAGAAAAGTTTGAGGATATTTTAAAATATAGTAAATCTTATTTTGAGAGAGAGAAAGTCAAAGCATAAGGAGAAAATGACGCATCCTTAAAATTAACTCTAAATTTCCCACAGAACCTTCAGGACCCCGTTTTAAAATAAAGCTCAAAACCCTAGAATTAACTATTTATCTGTGCATTTTTTTTTTTTTTTTTTTTTTTTTTTTTTTTTTTTTTTTTTTTTTTTTTTTTTTTTTTTTTTTTTAGATGTGGCCTCTATTTGCCTGTGGAAGTAAGGGCCTAGGTCTAGTTTGCACTGGAAGGCTGCAATGTAGTAAACATTGCATTCTTCTTTCAAAGCGTATGGGTGAATTGGCACTTAAAAAACATAATGAAGCACCACTGTCATATTCACTATACAAATTAGTTTCTGGTGCCTCTCAAATTCAGTGAGCTTAGACTTAGATAACCTCCAGACTCTGAAATTAATGCCAGAGTTTCATGAATATTTTCTCCTATTGTACTGACAGTGGAATAAGTAAAAATGGAATTGTCTCATAATATGTTTTTGTTAATTAGGTGGAATTTGTTGAAAACCTCCCAAAGACAGTCACTGGGAAAATCAAACGCAACGTTTTAAGAGACCATGAATGGGGACGAACATAGCCTGATAGAAAACTGAGTCATGAAGAACTTAGGGGTCACTTTCTTTTAGTCTGTTTCCTGATAATGTAGTGACAACTCTCCTAAAATGTTTCAGATTTTTCCTGGTTGAAAACTCAACTGAGTTTTTGCTTTGTACTTGGCCAAAAAATAAAATAAAAATCTAAAAATATTTGGGAAGAGAATTGTTACGATGACCAACTGACAAAAGCAATGATTGTCTTGTAGTGTTTAAAACTGCAGGGGTCAAATGACTGCTTGGAAATACACCGTGGACAATGAATTTATTTTGTGCCTGATTAATTTAAAATAAAGATTAGAAGTATTCTACTAGAAATGTTCAAATCTGAATTGCTTAACACTTTTATATATTACTAATTCTTTTAGGTTAAAATATTAACGTTAAAATGAGATATATAATTCAAAAGCCAATAAGTAAATTTAATTAAGTGTTATATTACTGTAACTCATTTTGAAGCATATTCACTATAAAATATCCAAAACCTGGATGAATTAAAAGTAACTATTCAAGAGCAATTAATAAACTTTTTGTACCTTTACTTTTTAGGACAATATAATGACTTTTATTGATACATAATTTGACATATAAACATCTTTTATTATGTATCTACTTATTATAAAGCAAGAGATTTACTAAGAGGCAGGAAGAAAGAAAAAGTACAAAACACCAATCTTTGTGGAACAAGTTTATTTTGATTTTTTCCTAAAAATATCAGGAACTATAAAAAATAAGCTCAATATTTTGTGGTATCAAAAACAATACAACTAAAAATAACATTTAGAAAGCATGTTTAACCTTAGGGAAACATGTTTTAAAGTAGCAAGTTTAACACTCTTCCCTTCGTAAAGCAAAACAAGTTTACTGAATTAAAACACTTAAGGTGAACTTTTTTAAAATGACATAATTTTTTAAAAGAAAAAGAAAAGCATTCAATTCTAACCAGAAATCTCATCATTTATAAAATAACATGCTCAAATGCCAGTGAAAATTAACAGTTGGTAAACTTGAAAACAAGTATTTCACTGAATAAATTCAGATTCCAACAGAATACAGCACTTTATAGCTGGGGAAGCACAGCTCCTGTCAGATTCAGGTCATGGAATACAAATGAATACAAAAGGGAATTAAAACTAACTACTACACCACAGTAGCAGCTTTCTCACACTAAAAGGAACCCAGTTCTGCAGAGCTGTTATGTTCTGTGTGCTTTAGGCCAATTTTATTCCCATAGTCCCAGAGTCTTCCACTATTGAAATAAAAGAAATCTTTGACTTGGAACAAATGTGATAAGGCATCAAAATCCTATTTTGTGTTCCCCAAAATGATACTTAGAATGCTCTTATCATCCTTTTAAGATGACTTCAACCTATTAAAAGTTAATTCAAGTACAGGTCTGCCCAGGAAAAGTACAGTCATTGTTAATATCAGAACAGTTTGCATGACATCAATATAACCTGGCAGCCAAGGACAGTGAACTGGAATGCGCATGTACGGACAATGACGACTTCACTCTACTAGTCAGTGTGGGTGGTAGATGCCACTAAGTAGGCATGTGTACCATATGGCTGTCACATACAAAATGACTGAGCAAGTAGAGCAACAAATCTGCATCATATGTTTTGCATTAAGCTTAAACAGTCCTCTGTGGAGACTATTCAGATTAATTCAGAAGGGCACAGCTATGGGCAACTGGTGACTGGCAGCTTCATCATGACAACGTGCCCTGCTCATGCATCACATCTCATGCAGTTTTTTGGTGAACCATCAAATCACCCTGGTGACTCAGTGCCCTTACAGCCCAGATTTGGCGCCCTGTGACTTCTGGTCTTTCCTAAAACTCAAATCACCTTTGAAGGGGAAGAGATGTCAGATAGTCAATGAGATTCAGGAAAATAAGACAGGGCAACTGATGGCAATTGGAAGAACTGTGTGAGGTCTCAAGGTGTCCACTTCGAAGGGGACTGAGGCATCATTGTCTTATGTACAATGTTTCTTGTATCTCTATTTTTCATATTACATGTTTGGATACCTTCTGAACAGACCCTGTAATGCAAAGATACACAGGGAAGTTCCGACTTCATCTGCATTACCAATGTCTATTCTCTTTGCCCCTTCCAAATCCTTCCAGTCTAGCTTCTAGCTAGGAGGATAAAAATATATTCCCATGCTCTCTAGTCATTAAACAAACATAGCCACTATGTTTGTGGGAAGACTTCCCATTTGTAATACTTCCAAACTTCTTAAAATTTAAGAATAAATCTCCAAAAACTAACTTCACAACCTTTTGATATTCTCAGTCTGGACATTTAACTTCAGAACTCTCTTTGCTGTCTGTCTCTTCCAGGTTTTTTCTGTAGTTTTGCCTTGGAGGAACCCTTGAAAAAAACTTTCCAAGTAAGGATACTCTATGTCACAGAAATTCAGAACTGTCAGGCTAAGACTTAGTTCATTCATTCTCTTCTTTCAGACAAAAATCACAGGCTGAAGACTTAGAAAAGAGGTTCCTTTCCCAGACATATACAAGTATTAGGAAAAAAAGGAAAAGTACTATTTAATTTGGTTTTGCAGTTCTTCAAGGAGAGTTTTAATGGCTTCGGACTTGTTACTTTCCTTCATTCTCAAGCCCAAGTGGCTGTGGAAACATTTCGAGAGTTCCTCTAGCAAGAAGTATGTTCCAGAGTCCATTTCTTTTTAACCTAAGAATCTTGTCACTTTTAAGAAAAAACATTTTCTCTGGGACCCTGCAGATACGTGTTCATTTGTTCACACAATGAGAAATGTCTGCTAAGTAGACTAGTACCTGTAGCCATTCTTCATCTTCATGGCATTCAGCAAAATGTGACCCAGTATTTTCTTGTAAGTACTCTGCTAATTCACCTTACAACTAAGGTACCTTCCTCTAATAAGCCACTGGGTTCTATATGTAAAAGAGTTATGCGCTCTTTATTCAGGGTTTCTTTTGGGGGGGGGGGGATTTTTTAAAAACATTCTTGAATGAATGGATCTTTAACAAAGTTAACCATTTTTGTAGCATTATCCAAAACATTCATTTCAATCAGTTTTTTTTATCAGTACCTCTCTGTGAAGAAAGAAGTGTGCTATAACATCAATATTAGGATTTTTCTTTTAATAAAATGAGGCAAAGCTTGTCATGAAGTAATCACTGATGGGCCACCACAAGTACAGGTGACAGACTTTTGGTTTTCAGATAAGACCCATTAAGTGTGTAGTGGTCTTTGAGAGGCTCCTAGTAGCAGAAAAGTTTTTTTGAATTTCATCAACATTTATAATTCTTGCATATGCTATACCATTTCAAATATCTTTCTTATATAAATGTCTAACCACTATGCTGTATACCTAAAACTAATATTGAATGTCATCTGTAATTGAAAGATTAAAAAATAAATTAAGAAATAAATATTTGTGAAATTCGTTGACTTATCATCCCAGATAGAAAACCTGGTTTTTTGCAGTTAATGACAAAAAAACTTTTTAGCTTCATGTGACATGTCAATTTCTTAAATTAGAGTAAAATCTCAATTTCTTAACTTCTTGCCCTGGCTTTTCAATGTTGGTATTATTAGATTCTTACCAACTATGTGAAATTAACTTTTCACTGAATGTGATTTTTATGAACAAAAGCTTTACTGTTTTGATATTCCAAAAATCACAAAATAATCAACATCTTTACTTATCAAATGGCTACGAATTATAGTTATAACTGCCGGAACAAATGCTAGGTTTATAAGTTCCATTCTATAGAGAATGTACAATGGAATAGGACAGCTTGGATTATGAGTCCATATAACCATTGAGAAGTAGCTTTCACCGTAATGCAAGAATCTATCTCTGTCTTATTGCACCAATGTCCTCAAGTAACTCCAGAAGACTGTAATTCTTAATCACTAACCTTATCAGAAATGTCTGTATTCTATGCCTAGCATGGTCCTCTTCTATATCACACCTGCCTTCAAAAACTGTTACACTGGACCATCAGATTTGTTTGCAACAAATGTCACTAGAATATAAAAAAAGGCCTAACAGCTAAACAAGAAACCACAAAAAGTACAAAAACGTCACAAAACAATTCACTTCTAACCTATATGACCCCTGTTTTTGCAAAGTTTACAAAAAAGTGGCAGGAGACAACTGAGTTGCAACACACAAAAATTCCTTCATTAAAATGAAAATTTCCTTGAAGTTTATATTTTACAGAGCTGGTTTGCTCCCACTAGTGAGTTGGCAACGCAGAGGTGGTGGGGGAGATAATCATGAAAGAGAGGCCAATGTCATCCTCCTACCACACTCCCCTAATGTGTAAGAATGTTCCCCAGTTATTCACAGCTTCTCCCGGCTCACTCAAATGAACATGGGCTGACTGTACACTGCCACACAGGGCTGAAACAATCTAATGAAACTGTCAGTAGGGCTGCTCAGTCATCGTTCAGCACTGTGAGCACAGTGTTCTGCAGCACAAGAGGTTTAGAAACAAAATTTTCAGTAAAAATTTTATAAGAAATCTCAGCAACAGTTCACAGAATCCCAGTTGAGAAACCCACCTCCAACACCAAGTGATTTTTTTTTTCCTATGAGAGGTCATTTTCACTTGAATCAAATCCTTCTGTGATTTGACTTGCAAGTTCAGGTTTAGCTCCTCCATCATTTGCCACCAATGTCTCAGACACTGGTTTTGTCTGGCCCAGCTTCTCACTATTTTCTGGTACCACCTGATGGTTATTTTTTTCTTCTGCTGGGTCATTTTGATTTGATCTGTCACCAGCTTCCAATTTAGCTTTTTTTCCATTTCCTGCTTGTGCTGTCTGCTTGGAGTTAAGCTGCGGGGAGTCCTCAGCACTCTTCACCACCTCCTGGAGATTATACTTTCTAAACAACACGTAATCTTTCACAACACTCAGGCAACAGACAGCTTTAATGATTTCTACTACCACTGTGTACTGTGGATTGGTAAGATCCACTTTGTTTTCCGAATTGAGGCTTCCTACTATTCCTGTAACAAAAAGGACAGGAAAACACCTAGGCTGAGAAGGATATCTTGAAGCTTGACACATACAAAAACATTGTTTCATCTCTTTTGGTCTGGGACTTGTAAAACCAAAACAAATGCAAGTCCACTCTTCTACACAGACCTCAGTCAAATACCCTGAACTCTCTCAAAAGATAAATGCAAATGAAACTCTGAGACATTTAATAAAAGTACTTTTTTTCCAAACAAAAATTCAATCTTGATTTGGAAAACAACATCTAACTACCAGAAAAATCTCATATCCAACATACTAAAACCAGTTTAAGTTTGATATTATTTTAAAAACATTTAAATATATTTGCTCTAACTCAAAAATGTAACACTTAAATCTTTGAAAACTATTTTTTTAAAATTTTATTTTAGTACAGTGCAGAGAGAAAGGGGGGGATGGCGGGAGACAGTAGAGGTAAAGGGGGGATAAATGGTGATAGGAGGAGACTTGACTTGGGGTGGTGTACACACAATATACAGATGATGTATTATAGAACCGTATACCTGAAATCAATATAATTTTATTAACCAATGTCACCCCAATAAATTCAATTAAAAAAATAAATCACACTATCATAGTGGGGAAAAAAATGAAGAGTATTTATATTGAAAAATAAAATAAAAATAAAAATTTTTACATTCAATCTTATTCTGTATTAGTTTCAGGCATACAGCATAGTAGTTAGACAATCACATACTTTTCAGAGTGGTCCCCCATAATACTTCCAGTGTTCACCTGACTCCATTCATAGTTATTACAATATTATTGACTATATTCCCTATGTGGTACTTTACATCCCTGTGACTATTCTTTAACTATCAATTTGTACTTCTTAATCCCTTCGCCTTTTCACCCAATCCTCCAAATCCCCTCCCCCTACCAAAACTGTCCGTCTGTTCTCTGTTCTTATGAGTCTGATCTGATTTTGTTTATCTCATTCTTTAGATTCCACATATAGTTATATTGTATTTGTCTTTCTCTGTCTCACTTATTTCACTTAACATAATCCCGTCTAGGTCCATCCATGTTGTCTGTCACAAAAGATAACATTTCATTCCTTTTTATGGCCAAGTAGTAATTCACTGTGTATACATACTACAGCTTTTTAATATACTCACCTACTGATGGGCACTTGGTTGCTTCCATATCTCGGCTATTGTAAAAAATGCTACAATGAACATGATACATATATCCTTTTGAATTAATGTTTTGGGTTTCTCTGGACATATTCCCAGAAGCGGAACTCCTGGGTCATAGGGCAATTCTTTATGTCAATAAATGCAGAAAAAGTGTTTGACAAAATCCAGCACTGATTCATGATAAAAACTCTGAGCAAAGTGGGAATAGAGGGAACACCACAACATAATAAAGCCCACATGAAAAACCCTGAGCCAGCATCATATTCAATAGAGAAAAACTAAAGGTGTTTCCCTTAAGATTAAGAACAAGACAGGGATGCTGGCTTTCATCAGTCATTCAATGTAGTAGTAGAAGCTCTAGCTACAGCAATCAGACAAGAAGAAGAAATAAAAGGCATCCAAATTGGAAAGGAAGAAGTAAATCTGCTGTTATCTGCAGATACTATATATAAAGAATCCTCAAGATACCACCAAAAACCTACTGGAAATGATAAATAAATTCAGTAAAGTAGTTGGATACAAAATAAACATCCAGAAATCAGTTGCATTTTTATACACCAATAAGGAACTATCCAGAAAGGGAAACTAAGAAAGCACTCCCATCTACGATTGCATTAAAAAAAAAAAATACCCAGGAATAAATTAAACCAAGGAGGTAAAAGATATATACTCAGAAAAATTATAAGAACTAAAGAAAGAAATCAAAGATGATACTAATAAATGGAAACATATACCATGCTTGTGGATAGGAAGGATTAGCATCATTAAAATGTCCATACTACCCAAAGCAATCTGTAGATTCAACACAATTCCTATCAAAATACCAATGGTGTATTTCACAGAACTAGAACGAATAATCCAAAAATTTGAATGGAAATACAAAAGACCCCAAATAGCAACAGAAATCTTGAAAAATAAGAACAGAGTGGGAGGTATCATACTACATACTACCTGATATCAAACTATACTATTACTACAAGGCCACAATAATCAAAATAGCATGGTAGTGGCATAAAAACAGACATATAGATCAATGGAACCAAACAGAGAGCCCAAAAATGAACCCACACCTATATAGTCAACTAATCTATGATAAAGGAAGTAAGAACATACAATGGGGCAAAGACAGTCTATTCAATAACTGGTGCTGGGAAAACTGGACAAGATACATACAAATATAATTAAACTTTTAAGTTTAATTAGACCATCTTCTTACACCATATACAAGAATAAACTCAAAATGGATTAAAGACTTAAATTTAAGACTTTAAACCAAAAAACTACTAGAAGAAAACATAGGCTGTAAAATCTTGGACATTTTTCTTATCAATATTTTTTCTGACATATCTTCTCAGGCAAGGGGAACAAAAGAAAAAAAATAAACAAATAGGACTGCAGTAACCTAAAAAGTTTTTTGCACAGCCAGAGAAGCCATCAACAAAACAAAGAGGCAACCTACCAAATGGGAGAACATATTTGCCAATGACACATCTGATAAGGGGTTAATATCCAAAATGTATAAAGAACTCAGACAACTCAAGACCAGAAAAATGAACCCAATTAAAATAGGACCTGAATAGACATTTCTTCAAAGAGGACATACAGATGGCCAATAGATACGTGAAAAGGTGCTCAAATCACTTACGATCAGAGAAATGCAAAGTTACAGCTGCAATGAGATACCACCTCACACCTGTCAGAATGGCTGTCATTAATAAATCAACAAACAACAAGTGCTGGTGAGGATATGGAGAAAAGGGAACCCTAGTGCACTCTTGAGGAGAATGCAGACTGGTGCAATCACTTTAGAAAACTGTGGAAGTTCCTAAAAAAATTCTTAAAAAGAAGAACAAGTATTTACCACTGCACACCAATGTAGTATCACTAAGAGAAACATACCTGCCAATTCTTTGATAACTTCTTCTCTATTCATGTGACTGTTATTTCGAGCTTTGTACACAATCTGAAATGTCCCTTTATTTGGAGCTTTAAACCAGGGTTCCAAAAAAGTTTCTGCATATCTTTTCATATCTTCTAAGAAAGCCTTGCATGTGCCTGAGATGGGTAACATTCGTAAAATAACTCGAGTCTTCTTCTTCTTGGTTTTGTACATATCCTGGAGAATATGATGCACCAATTTCTCAGGTTCTAAAAGAAAACAAAAACAAAAACAAAAAAACAGCACAGGACAAACAGGTTGAGAATGTAAGTTCTCAGATATTTTAAAGCCTCTCCAAACTCTATAAAGCAAATTTTCATTGTCAGTAACATAAGTTGACAATAGAGTAGAAGAAATTATCATAATGAATTTTAAGTAAGTCTAACCAACCATGTTTTCCAACTAATATTTCTTCAGTGCCATATATATGTGAGTGTGTGTCTGTGTGTATATGTATATACACTATCTAATATTTTAACTCTTCAGCTTATTACTGCTTTCACTAAAAAGAACTGTTCGTGAAGACAGTGGAGTTACATTTTTGTGATATCTGCTTTATCCAATGACAAAACCATACTGTTGTTTTCCTGTAACAATGGCAACTAACAAAGTATACATTTTTTTTTTTTTTATAAAAACAAACAAGAATCTGCAAGTCACTTAGCTAAGTCTGTACAGAAATCTGGATCTCAGATTTTGGAGGAACCCCAAACCATGCACAAAATTGCCCAAAGCCCAAACTGCACAAGGTCATGGGGTAGTCCTTAGGCCACATCCTACTGACATGCAACTCTGTTTGGGGCTGCTCAGTGCTTTCAATGCTTTTAAACTTAGTTAATTAATTCCATTTTAAAAATCTAGAAACCTCTCCAGATTTCCAACTTCTTTTGAAAAACCAGAAGATTTGGCCCTACCAGGACTACATTCCCTAAAGTCTGAAGCCATTACAAATTATTACAAATTGACTGGAGCTGACCAGCAGCTGCTCCTTTTTAGACAGAACATGCACTTGTTTTACCTTAAGTTATATATAAACAAAGTGGCAAAACCAAGTTTCCACTCCTAAGTCAATGCTATGTCTACCACCCCATTTCACTTCTCTATGTGCCTACTGATAAGACAGTGAAGAGAGAGGATGCAATCAAATACTTAACTGAACCACAACCACAAAGCCATTTTGTAGACAGTGTTCTCTGTGATAGGGAGATGTCCAGATATTACAGGATCAATAATGTTAAGATGTATTAGTCAGACAAACCTATTCCAAGTGTCCTGATGAAGACTACATTATTCGCTCCACTCTCCACTGACTGGAATCTTCTTAGCTTCATTTCCATAGATGCCTTAATGTCACCAACTTCTTTCTTCAAGGCAGCCTCCACATCATCGTCTTCTTCACTTCCAGAAGGCTGCTGATCCTTGTCTATAAACTGTTTGCATAAAACTAATGAGCAGAAATGTTGTAACAGCCCATGTGAAAGCTCTAATTAACTACTTACATGAAACCCCCAGTGTTACACAGCTTTATATTGTATAAAGTTTTTTACTAAGAGACTGAGACTTCACTCCCTCCAAAAAGAGGAGGAAGAAGGGTGTTCCCGCTGACTGTGATGCATATAACTTGAAAATGTCTTCAAAGGCACTCTGACAGTCTGAGACAGAGGGAAATTTGTTTATCAGATAAATCATTCCAGGGTGGACCTCAATCCTATCACTAGTTATCTTTGTGCCCAATGACACTCTCATTTTGGACAGATTAGACCAACAGTTACAGAATTAAAAACCTTTACTCCTGTTCCACTGAAGAACAGGGAACAGAAATAGTTCAAGAATGTCCTCAAGATACCAGTGTAGAAAAGTTAACTACTTGCTGCCCAGTTCTCCGCCCCATCCCAATCTGGCACTAATAACTGTACACATTTTTGAAGGCTTTATTATATACCAGGATGTACTTCATGTACATAAGCAACGTTTTAGTTTAAAAAGTATTATGCCCTGGCTGGTGTGACTCAGTGGACTGAGTGCTAGCTTGTGAACCAAAGAGTCGCCAGTTTGATTCCCAGTCAGGGCACATGCCTGGGTTGCATGGCAGGTAAATAAGGGTGGTGCGCTAGAGGCAACCACACACTGATGTTTCTCTCCCTCTTTCTCCCTCCTTTCCCCTCTCTCTAAATATAATTAAATATTTTTTTAAACGTACTATCATTATTCTTTTTATCTAGCTCCACAGACATAAATAACGTGCCCGTGCCCGTGCCCATGCCCATGCCCACGCCCCAGGGCCAATAAATGATAGTACCTAAATTCAAATCCCCTCTGTACTAACCCTTCTCCATTTAATTCTTGGGGTGTCACACGTGTTAGTCCAGATCTTAAAGCGTCCAGACCGAGCGTACAAAGAATTGCAGACTGCGATGGGTCAATTAGATTTGACGTGGTAACTGATAAAAGTTTTTACTTTGAATATGTATTTTTACTATTTCAGAGATACAGCTTAGGACAAACATATCATTACGGCCATGGTGTTCAGGCAGTGGAACAACATGACAGAAATCGTGAGGACCAATTACGTTTATTTCTTGTGAACCTGAACCACCTACTTAAACTACTCAACTCTCGTGTCCTCCTTAACATTAATTCACAAAGCTGTCGTAAGTAAATGTTTCTGAAAAAGCTTCGGAAGCACAAAACCTAGACCACAGGAAGTAATCTATAAACAGGAACCACCATGTTTAACAACCGGAAAAAACTGCGAAGTGTAAGCATTTCCAGCCCAAGCCTAGGCGCGGGCGTGCTACCAGACAAAGCGAGGGGCTGGTGAGTAAGCGAGGCCACGCCCTCCAAGCGCCAGCGAAGAACTCGCGCAACCGTCCGAAGGAGGGCGGCCTTCCTCAAATATTTCAAGGCTGGCAACCCCGCCCCAGGGCGGCCCGTACCTTTTCTGGCCCGTACAAGTCGTCCCCATATTCGCTGAGTAGGATGTAGGCCTCCTCTACGCACTTGCGCTCGTTCATGTTGCATGTGATAAGAATGCCCTGCAGGCCGGGTTCTAGCTGACGGGGCCCACCGCCGTCGCGGCGCCGAGCACGCTTGGCCTGCAAGTACTGAGCTTTGCCCTTGCGCTTCCCGCCACCAGACTGGGGGTGCGGCTGGACCGGGCTCGCCATAGTAGATGACAGGTGAGGGTAGCGAGAAACGTACTTCTCCACGGCTATCTACGTCCCCACTCCGGCCGGCGCGGGCTGATTACGTAAGGGGTGCGCGAAGGTCTCACCTAGTTGCGTCTCCAAGCTTATTTCCGGGCTTCGCCGGGTCCTAAAGGCCATCTTTTTCAAACTCGGGGAGGTGGAGCAAGGCCCGCTCCCGCCCCCGCCCCTCCCCGCCCCTCCCCGCCCCCGCCCCTCCCCGCCCCCGCCCCTCCCCGCCCCTCCCCGCCCCCGCCCCTCCCCGCCCCCGCGAGGATTGACAGACACTTCTCACCACTGGAAAGAGGGGTTTCCCTGGAGACGTGGTCTGAGGGAGGAACCCGCGGGTAAACTTAGACGCTGGTTCTTAGTTGGATCTAGACCGCGCTTGCAAAGACCCGTCTCATTTACTCATTCATAATCATTAATTCATTCAATTAATATTAATTTATTAAGCACCCATCTGCTAGTAATTGTGGTATACTGAGGTTGAGACTTAGCAAAGCAAGACAAACTTCACACTCCCATTGCTCTTATACGTCAGGGTATCTTAGAAGTCAGTGGGGCCTTCCAAACCATCTTACTGATTTTTTGTTCCTATTGAAATGTGTGTATTCAGTACACTTTCCTTAATACTCCTGTTGGAGGACCCCAGACATACAAAGAAAATCAGGACACAAAGTACAAGGAACTCATTGAGGTCAGAAAGCTGTTTATCAAAATGAGAAATATAAAATACAAGGAAACGTAGTCAAACTTCATAACATTAAATTGTCTCTAAGGGAACATCTTAACTTGTAAAATGTATTTATATTAATACCAAAAATATTGTGTTCTTCATGTACTTTTGTTTGACAGTGGTGTTATAAAAAGTGATTAACGTTTTGGTGAAGTATTGTTCCAGGTTCACTTGATTTGGACAAGAAATGGCTTTCTTTGGTTTGGGTTCCAACCCCAGATCTACCAGTCTTTACAAAAACTATGTCAACGCTAATTTCTTTCTTCTACCTGTATATTGAGCACAGACTTTACTTTGCAGAATGTCACTAGTGGAGATGGATAGCAGAGAATTCTGAAGGTACTAGGATGTGAAGAATAGTCTCATTACTCCAGCGTTGTAATGGTGTCAGGAAGTATAGAAAGAGCTGGCTGAAACACATTTTATTTTTCCTTACATCCTCAGTGTCAAGTATAGCGCCTAGTCCATTTTAACTGATCAAAATTGTTTTTGAATTAAACTAACACAAAAAATGATAACAAAAGGAAAGATTAAGAAGAGTCCTGATCTCACTAAACCACATCATGGAAGCTAGAAAAGGGCATTGATCTCTGAAAGAATCTCTCTTCTACTGTTTAAGTTTCAGTTGTCCATACACTGCCCTCTGGCACCAGGATCTTAGAGGTTAGCGTACACATAAAAGTAAAAATGCTTAGTTTGCACCCCAAGTATACCTTTTTTTTAAAATTTTACAATTATGGTTTACAGACAATATTATCTGGTATTTGTTTCAGGCATACAGCATAACTGTTAGATAATTATATTCTTTAAGAAGTGATTCCCATGATATTCCCATCACTCATCTGGCACCAAACATAGTTAGTACAATATTATTGAATATTTTCCCTATGCCTTACTTTACATCCCCATGGCTATTTTGTAACTATCAATTGTACTCCTTAATCCCTTCACCTTTTTAACCCATCCCTTCAACCTCCCTCCCCTCTGGCAACCATCAATCTGTTCTCCATGTGTATGAGTCAGGTTTGTTTTGTTTGTTATTTTAAAATATTCTACATATAAGTAAAATCATATGGTATTTGCCTTTCTCTGTCTGATTTATTTCACTTAAAAAAATACCCTCCAGGTCCATCCCTGCTGTTGCAAAAAGTAAGATTTCATCTTTTCATGGCCAAGTAATATTCCATTGTATAAATGTACCACAGCTTTTTTATCACTCATTTACTGTTGTGCACTTGTGTTGCTTCCATATCTTGGCTATTGTAAATAATGCTGTAGTGAACATAAGAGTGCATGTATCCTTTTGAATTAGTGTTTTGGGATTCTTAGGATATATTCCCAAAAGTGAGATGGCTGGGTCAAAAGGCAGTTCCATTTATAATTTTTTGAGGAACCTTCAGCTTTCCATAGTAGCTGCACCAGTATGCATTCCCACCAACAGTGCATGAGGTCACTTTTCTCCATATCCTTGCCAGCATTTGCTGTTTCTTGATTTATTGATGATAGCAATTCTGTCAGGTGTGAAGTGATACATTATTGTGGTTTAAACTTGCATCTCTCTGATGATTAGTGATACAAGACATCTTTTCATGTATCTTTTGGCCATCTGTATGTCCTCTTCAAACAAGTGTATATTCAGATGCTATGCCCATTTTTTTTAATCTTCACCAAGAATATGTTTTTACTGATTTTTAGAGAGGGAAGAAGGGAGAGAGAGAAAGAACATTGATCAGTCACGTCCCACATGTTCCATGGCAGGGGATCAAACATGCATCCTCTGTATGTGCCCTGACTGGGGATTGAACCTGCAACCTTTTTAATGTATGGGACAACACTTCAACCAACTGAGCATCCTGATCAGGGCCTCTGCCCATTTCTTAATTGGAGTGTTTTTTGGGGGGAGTTTGAGCCGTATAATTTCTTGATAAATTTTGGATATTAACCCCTTATCAAATGTATCATTAGTGAATATGCTCTCCCATTCAGTAGGTTGCCTCTTCATGTTGCTGGTTTACCTTGCTGTGCACAACATTTTTTAGTTTACTGTAGTCTTATTTATTTTTTGTTTCCCTTGCCCACGAAGATATATCAGAAAAAATATTGCTGAGAGAGATGTCTGAGATTTTACTGCCTATGTTTTCTTCTACAAGTTTTATGGTTTCAAGTCTAAAATTTAAGTCTTTGATCCATTTTGAGTTTATTCTTGTATATGGTGTAAGAAGGTGGTCTAGTTGCATTGTTTTTGCATGTGTCTGTCCAATTTCCTCAACCCCATTTATTGAATTTACTGCCTTTACCCAACTGTATGTTCTTGTCTTTTTTATCTATATAGGCATGGGTTTACTCCTGGCTCTCTATTTGACTCCATTGATCTATATATTTGTTTTTGTGCCAGTACCATGCTATTTTGATCACTATGGCCTTGTAGCATGGTACTCCAACTTTGTTCTTTTTTCCTCAAGATTGCTGATGTTATTCATTGTCTTTTGTGGTTCCATATAAACTTTTGTATTACTTCTTCTAGTACTGTGGAAAACACCATTGGTATTTTGATAGGAATTGCATTTAATCTATAAATTGCTTTGGTAGTATGGACATTTTAATGTATTAATTCTTCCTATTTACAAGCATGATTTATGCTTCCATTTATTTCTAATGTGTCACTTAATGTCACTATATCCTTGTTGATTTTTTGTCTGGAATATCTATCCATTGACGGCAGTGGTGTGTTAAAGTCCCCTATTATGACAGTGCTGTTGTTGATATTTTCCTTGAAGTCCACCAAGATTTTTTTAATATATGTAAGTGCTCCAGTATGGGTGCACATAAGTTTACAAGGGTTATGTCCTCTTGTTAGATTGATCTCTTTAGTATTCTGTAGTGATCCTCTTCGTCTCTTTTCACAGCCTTTGTTTTGAAGTCTATTTTGTCAGATACAAGTATTGCTACCCCAGCTTTTTGTCTGTTTCCATTTGCATGGTATATTTTCCCCCATCCTTTTATTCTCAGCTTGTGAAAATCTTTTGTTATAAGGTGAGTCTCTGGTAGACAGCCTATATACAGGTCATGTTTTCTTACCTATTCAGCTACTCTATGTCTTTTGACTGGAGCATTTAATCTGTTTACATTGTTAAGGTTATTTTAAATAGGTATTTATTGATTGCCATTTTTTACTCTACCTATGTTTTTCTATTTCTTCTCCTTATTAAAGAAGGTCCTTTAACATTTCTGCCAGTTTGGTAGTAATGAACTCCTTTAGCTTTTCATTGTCTGGGAAGCTCTTTATTTGGCCTTCAATTCTAAATGATACCCTTGCTGGGTAGATCAATCTAGGTTGCATGTCCTTAGCTTTCATCATTTTGAATATTTTCCGCCAGTGCCTTCTGGCATGCAGTGTTTCTGTTGAGAAATCATATGAACTTCTAAGGGGAACTACCTTGTAAGTAACTGACTCTTGCTGCCTTTAAAATTCCCTTTTTGTCTTTAAACTTTGCCATGTTCATTATGATGTGTCTTGGTTTGGCTGTCTCTGTGTTCATCTTGATTTGGATTCAACATGGGATGAGCCCAAGTCTGTTGAGATAGGGCTAGCAGGTCTCCCACTTTGTGGATCACATAGTCTGTAGGGCATCCAGTGAGGGGAGAGTAGCCCCTGCTCAAAGCCAACCCCTTCAGTGTCTACCAGAGACTCTAGCACTTGCTTTCTCAGGGTCCTCACTGCTGATTCAGGATGGGTACGCTCAGCATTCCCTTTTGTAGGAGTGAACTCAACAGCTCAAAAGAATCTCCCATTGGGGCTGGAGTTGGACCAGCCTACAGCTGGGGGCTAAGCTCTCTGACTCATTCTAAGACCTCATTAGGACGTTTAGTTCTCTGTCTCATTCCTAGACAATATTCTCCAAGAATCTAACATTTTGAAAGTCCCCTTTTTGAGCTTCTCTTTCTGCTCCCATGGAAATGCACCCAACAGAGGAATCTGGGACCTGGCAGAGCAGATCTGCAGAGTTTCCCCCATTGGAAGTTATGTCTGCAAACCTGTAGAAGAGCGCCAAGCCCTCTTTCCCTTCCTAGGGTAGTGTAGGCTGAGACTGCCTTTACCTCCCTGTGAAGTATCGAAGCAACTCAACCCTCGGCAGCCTAACTTCCTGACAGAAGCCTCCCCAGGAGACACAGTCTAAGACTCTATGCTCAGTGCAGCACTCAGCTTGCTTACATACCAAGATGGTCAGGGCCTAAAAACACCTTGTGCAATCTTCTCATCTCTCCACACAGCTCATTTTAGTAGGAAAGGACCAGAAGACCCAGCATGGCTTG